ACACACACACACACACACACACACACACACACACACACACACACACCTCCATTGTGTGCATTTCTATCATTGAAAAACGAACAACATGCAGGGTAGTTTATCATAAACAACACATCTCAATGGCTACGCAACCTCACGTCAAGAGTTCCAAATCATCATTTGGAGGTTGCTTAACAAACCGTTACAGTAGTCAAACGTGCCTTGAACCTTGAGTAATGAAAAAGACGAAACTGAAAGATGGCAAGGGTGGGAGTATTGATAATGACGAACAATTGTAAACAGCATACCAACGTGGTGCCGACAAGGGATGCCTACTCAGAATTTGGTACTAGTTTCCTACATTTACATTCAACTTCAGGGGCACCTCAAGTGCTAGACCAGGCTATCTCAAAACTCCTTAAGCTTAGATTCGAATTCGTAGCCATAGTATTGACCTAACTGTGCCCACCTTCCCTGCCTTCCAGGGTAGGAAATAGATAGGTGCAGTACCACGCTAGCCGCCAAGGCCTGTTTGGACTTTGACAATGATGAAAGCACGACATAAAAGCTCGGCACCTCCTTATGAAGGTAGAACAAGCAAGTGAAAAAGGTCTGCTGACCTGACCCGCGACGAAACCAGTACACGAAAAATCGCCGGGCCATACATCGCGATTTTTTAACAGTTTTCGATTTCACCAGACCCCTTCCTTTTACTACTCTTCATTGTCCCACTCATCTCAAATGCAAATTGTTACATGCTAATTATTTAGGGACCCCTCTTTTCAGAAAAGTACAAAAAGTGCGATCGAGGCACTGTGGGACGCGGCAACACTCCCAAAAAACAAACACGGGTGATCTCAAATACGATGTGTGGGTATGTGAATGAAATGAAGGCAGAACGCTCAGAAATACGACCTCAGCTCAATCTCTGGACTTTAAGAATTTCGATTTATTACTACTTCAAGAGGAGTGAAATTAGGGTAAAAATCAGTCTACAAGAATCAAAAAAATTTCCTCCCAAATAAAAAAAATAATAAAAAACTCTGAAAAGCGTGGAATTCAAAAACTTCTAACGGCCAGAATATAACTACTCGATTTCTATCCAGCACTTAGACAGATCAGTGATAAGCAATGCGTGACCAATGATAAAGAAATGAGAAGAATGACTTTAATGCAAACGGTGAAATGGATAGAAGGGTCGTTTTCACCTAAGAAAACCGATCATGTATAAACTTCATTATAAGAACCTACTTTTAAAATGGTTTGCAACTTGACTTATTATGGCCTCAATCAACCGTATTCGTTTATGTACTATCGACACACATCAAAAAACCAACTCGAGATCCAGACTACAGCCCATAGTGGTTGACATTAGGGAAAACTATAACAAAGCATTTGCAATGCGAATGAAAACGGAACCTTAGAAAGTGGGGTTCAAAAGAAGGCGGCAAATCGAATCAAAAGGTCACGACCATATGCTAAATTAACAATCCTGTTGTGATAGACGCTTTTGCAGTGTCCAAACCAGTAGGAGGGTGAAGAGGAGGTAATGTGAAGGTAAATATGAATACTGCGACATTTCAAGGCAAAATACAAGGAAAAAAGGATCTAAGAGCCCTCAAACTAACTTAAGTAACACACATTACATTAGAGAGGAAAAAAACACAAACCTTACGGCGAAGCCGCTTTTTGCACTTCTCCGCTTCAAGAATGGCACGCTGCAATTCCGACTTGGCTTTACGAAGCTCCTTTACACAGTCTCGATCCATTTGGTTGGCCGTCCGACGCCACTCATCCAGCCTGTCCGATAAAGGAGTCACCAGACACTCCGTGATTTGACTGAATGAGAAAAAAATGGAACTCCCAACAGAATTCTTCTTCTCGAGCCCAAACAATACAGAATAGAGAAAGAATTTTTCGCCTTTAGGGCCAAGTAGTTACTATGGGAATTTATGAAGTTTTTAAAAGGACGCATGCGTCAAAATGAAGAATTAATAGCCACACCTGTTAAAACTACGCAGTCGGGATTCGACACACCGTTGACGCAGGCAATAACGCCGCAACGCGATGCCAAACGGACGCAATCCCGCATTATTTGTTTCTGCGATGTCGGATATTTTTTGAAATGCCTCCAAAAAACCGGACATGCACTGCAGTGTAATACTAAGAAAAATTGAAGAAAAATACAGATTGGTTAGAGAGAATAGCAAACACGATACCATGACACTACACTATCAAATGATAAACAAATTCTGCAGAAGGTATTCTAAGCATTCAACCATGCACGAGGCCTGAATGAAAAGCAATATAAGCTGTCAATTAAAAAAGGCATAAAATAAAGAGACCAATGTGCAGCGTATGACACAGAAGACAGGTCAGAGAAAAAAAGTACACCAACCTCACAGACGCAGTTAATTTATTTGACTTGTTAATAAGATCATCCCAAAAGGCAAGTGAAGTCTGGAAATAAAACAATTAAATAAGGGCTTTACCTTAAGGTTAGAGAGCTGTGCATTGAAATTGTTTGAGTTGTATGAGGACTTCATTGGAAACACTTTTTTTTGAATCACAAATATACTAGCATTTAGAGGTGAAAAATTTAGAAAACTGTAAAAAAGTCGACTGACGACACAAAGGACTATCCTACAAACTGGGCGATATTCGACGCCGACAAACACCCAGTAAAAATTTGACTTTTCTTAACCAATAGTCTTACCAGGCTTCAAGGCAAAGTGCAAAGTCAAACAACAGAAAAATGGCATATATTTATACTTAAAGCTGGGCAATACGATACAAAAATTAGGCATAAGACAATTTTTTGACTTATGGCTAGATGTATTGCCAACTTTTGCTATAGATTTATCGATAGTGAATAACACGTGGTGATAAAGACTTCATAAGCAAAAACTGGCTTATTCCCATGATCCAGTTTAGATCTTTTAAGCACAAAGGATGAAGCGACTTTATTTGCAATCAATAGACGATTTTGAAATGTGTCAACAAAGTGCATTGGTATCGTTGGTAGCACTGATGGTAGATCGAACCCACTTTCTAGTAGCGGTTAACCCCCGTCCTCCCCCTGCTACTTCAAAATCAGATAACAGGGTCTAAATGAAGTTTTACAGAAATTTCTTGGACTGACTGGGGTACTCTCAACAGTAACTACTCGGATTTAACATTTACGTTATCCTGATGCAAACCGAAATAGCACAAACTAAAGTCCAATGTGATTAGCATACAACTTAAATAACTGCTGTCTTATTGTATAACCTCCACCGCTTTAAGCGTTACTCGTGGCATTCAATGTGACTACACTCTTACATCGGCGATCACAGCTTAAATTATCACAGGAGAATAATACCTGGATTATGCATTGCTTAGCATTCATGGTGAGACTGCATCAGTTTTCGATGTCAGAAACTTATTTGCATCGGGCTTACTTAGGTAAAAAATATAAAGCGACTCCAATGGACGTTTTAGCAGCTATACACCGGGAACTCTAACTTGTAGAAGGGCGGCTTAATAAAACACATAGGCTTGAGGTGGCGTCGGACTGCCACTACCCCGCACCCATTCCTCCTGGCCGATCACTCACCAATGCAAAAGTAGCATCGCTTCCCACGCGTCTTTGGTCTGACGAGCAGCTGGCACCTTTGCAGGGCATCAATTCGGGGCGGATAACAAAACGCTCGGCTCCACAGGCTCAACTGCTCATAGCACATACCGTCCCCCATGGTGCCCATTCTCGCATTTCACAAATGGAAATCAAGTTTGATGACTTAATTGAGTCAGGCCCACCCAACCCACCCGCCAAATTGGTGACAACCTATACAGAATAACTTCATAAACCGCGTTTCTGCATCACAGTCGGCGGGACCAGTGCCCGCGCCACATCACCAATAACCTAGAAACTAAAGGCAGCGTAACTCCGAGTAAGAATGTAATAGAATTGAGGAAATAAATCAGACGCGCCAGAAGAAGGGGAAGCCTTAAATGTTGTCCACTTAGATGTTATAACCCCAAGCAATCCCCACACCGTTCGTGTACACTACTGGAGGTCCCTCAATGGAAACTAACCTTTCACCATGAAGGCGAGCACACACTAAAATAATGAAGAACCAAAAGAAGCCAAGTATTTCGAGAAGTGGGGACTGATGCCTAAAAAAGCACCATTCACCCCAGAAAATGACTTCACAACACTCCAGGCTCAAGTCATCCACAAATACAGGCACTTCTAGACACTGAGGCCGGCAAAAAATGAAGCAGGTCCAGTATGAGCATAAATGCAGAACTAACCACTAACCTACCACACTGGAGGTTAATGTGCCGGACTATGCGTGGCATGTAAAACAACGGAATGAAGAAAAATACTTAGCATGGCTCAAAAGCTTGCGTTCCAATACGATAAGGGAAGAAAGAATACCGTTCTGAGTGACAATCCACGTTTACTAAAAAAAATTATCGCAATCGTCTAGCTTCTCTTTCTGTTTCCAGAAGGACTAGAATATCGCCTTCACGAACAGGACCTTTCACATTGCGGATAATGCTTCGCTTGTTTTCAACAAGCTCGACACGAACCTGTGTACATTGACCCTGAGAGCCAGTGCGACCGAGAATTCTTGTAACCTGCGTAAGAAAATAATCATCAAATCACAAATATTTTCAACAGGATGAGTGGCACCCACGTTTAATAAATGTTATGTGGAAAACACTGAAGCCTACAAAAACGCGAGCTAATATTCGTGAACATTTCAGGCACTACAGCTAAGTAAGCCGTCATTCAATACCACGGACTGTACACACCAAAATTATATGATAGTTTGAAAAATACCACCCATGCTGTAACGAAAAGCAGATTACCCTAGCTGTCTGAGCCGACGGAGCAGCCTTCGTAGCGTCCATGCCGCAGAAAAAACAACCACTCATAAAAGTGGTGCGGCGATAGAAACATTATATGCATACAAACAAACTTACATTTAATTTTTTTCCTTAAGGAAAAAAGATAAATGTATTTAGGTTACTTTTCAGGCGATAAATATTTTTTAATTTTTTTAAAGATAAAACTAGTGCATTTTAAGCTTGAACTAGATTTAGTTTGTTATAGCTGATCTTTAAGGCTAATTATTTGATATACAAAGAATTCACAAAAACAAATAGGTTTCAGGTTATGGTAAAATAACTTTTCGTTTGCATAGATTTTGTTGTTATCTGAGATTGTTTTTACACATTTCATTTTTGCAGCACCCCAAAACCTTTCTGAACCCGAAAGAAGACATACTATGGCAGAGCATATGCTGCTGAGGTAAAGAAAGGCTGGGAGCTACTAACATAGCTCAGACGCCGTGCTGCCTTCTAAAGTACAACTGTTAAGCCCTGAAATTCCTTGAAACCCAAAAGAAGTAATAACATTTAATCAAGGCATTACAATCTTGGTTCCGTAGAACAATTACCTCATTTGTTGCCACATTTATTTATCACTGTTAAGCATTCTATTCAAGTATTTTGTCCGTCAGATAGTGGCATCTCGGCGCTAACTGTGCTGTGGTGTCTTGAAGTGGCTTTGAAACTGCATTGTGTGCAGCCAGTATACAAATGTATATTCATTAACATATGTCAGAGGCCCGTGCCATCCAGTGGACGTGCAACTTATGGCGACAGGATAACCTCCATCGTCAACCGCAAAATATTAGTAGACGCACCCGTTATTCAGCAATTTAAGAAAAGCATTTGACTTCTGATTGGAGGTGTTACGTTACTATTATTTTACACACTACAATCTGGCTTTTAGTATTTCTCTAAACTATACTTTTAGGACATAAATCACCAGAGCCCCCCACCCACTCTGAGTGGAACGCACGACGCAAAGCATGGCTCGGGGCTGCTGACGGCCTGGAGGCCACCCCGCCGGACGAAGTTGCAACAGCAGCAACTCTGAGTAACCCCTCCACCAAATTCAGAAGTACAAGTAACAAGAACGCATCATGAACTTCTAAAAAGCCATTTATTACAATCTGCACCGATAAGGACTCGTGGAGTCTTACAGCCCTTAAAAAGATCCCTCGATATCATCAGTACTTTGCAATCGAGAATGGAAACATCCCCTCAGAGGCAAAATACGGGAGGAATAGGAGGGGATGAGCCACCCTCGCACACAAAAACACTTTGCTCATAGTTTATTTGTCTTTTCAACATTAAGTATATAGAATATAGTAACAGTAGTAGTAAGAGCAGTGGCGGTGACAATGTAAGCATTTATATGTGTCGATGGAGAAAGAAGGATGGAGAGTGAGAGAGAGGCAAAACTTTTAGTGGCGCAAGTGATCAGAGTTTGGGCGGAGCAGAGGAAACAGGAATAGATGGGGGGGGGCGGGGGCAAGCTTGTAGTGCGGCTACTGCTGACGGGTAAAATAGTTAAAGCAAACCAACAAACAGGCAAAGAGACAGACAGGCAGAACAACCAACAAAGGCAGAGAAAAGCGCAAAAAATAGAGGAACAAAGAAAATTCAGAATACGGAGGAGGAGGAGATTTAAAGACTGCATCATTGACGCTACGGTAAGTGAGTGGGTGAGTTGGTGTGAGATTCCTGAAAACTTATCAAAATAACCGAGCAACCTAATGGGCGGGAGAAGGGAGTGGCGCGAATATTGTTGCTGTCATAATGTCAACACCGTTGGCAGGTAATCCACCCCTTGAGGCGGCGATAGTGGTGGAATAAAAATAGGCGTCAAAAAGAATAGAAGCGAGGCGCTGTGGAAAACCAAAAAAAAACACAAGAAAAGTAGAAGCAATAGGAGTGGGACGGGCCGAGGGACAAGTGCACTGACGTGGACATATCATCATATCTGGAACGCTGCCTGGGGGGAAGGAGGGGGATAAGCCTGGGGATGGAGGAAGAAGTTCACTGGTTGAAGTCGGGCGGTGGTAGCGGTGATAGTGATTGCGCATCGAAGGCTGCTGTAGCAGCGGCGGAGGAGGGAGCGAAAGTGAGAGGAGGGGAGTGCTGATTCTGTGGCTGCTGCTGTTCCATGAGGTCAGAGGCTGAGTTGGTAATGGGGGTGGTGGTGTTCAGCATGTTGAGAGGAAGACCCGCGGGACTGGGGGAATCGTTACCAAGGAAGAGACTCCTTCGAAGATAGTGCTGGCTCTGCGGACCTAAAAGAGAAGAGAGTGTCAAAGGTTAAATGGGAGAGTTAAAAGGCAACCACGCATAGGAAAGAGCAGAAAAGAGACAGGGATAGAAGTTAGGTGGATAGCAAGAGAAGTGAAGGAAAAAAGGAAGCAGGGGGAGGAGACGAAGGGAGGCTGGGCTGCGGTTAAGTGGGGCAACTTACGACTGCAACTGCTGCCCGCGCGATTCGACTGGACGCCGTACTCCTGCGCCAGGCTCACTAGAACCTCGAGAATTTCGGAATTCGTCTGGCAAAGGGAGGGCGGAGTGAAAAGATAAATAGGCTAATCAATCACGAAAAAATAATTCTCAAAACGCCATCCCACTACCACAACCACCAGATAAAAACAAAACAGTAAAACCACGCCCCCAACTTGAACACAAAAAAGGTTAGAGGAGGGCATAAATTAATATATGAAAACAAAATCCCTTGTGAACTCCAAAATAATAGGCAATTCCCAACAAAACAGGCACATAAACATAGGGAATTAATGCTAAGATTGGAGAAAAAGGAATGTTTGATTTATTCCCGAAAGATAGTATATTGTCGGAATGGAAACGCTAAACAGCCACCGATACTGGTAATAATAAGACATTGTTTTCAAATAAAAAGAAAATGAGTGTATCAATGTGTGAGGCGTTAATTGTTTGTTTAACCCTAGGGTTTGGCAAAGGGTACACTTAGGTGCTCCGTGTGGGTTGGCCTCCGGGCCATGTCTGCAGCCTCAAGCCATTCCGAGAGCTGATAAAACATATTCTGCCCGAGTATTATGCCTTCTTTCGTCTTCGGGGACGGCCAAAAGCGAACCCGATCTAATAAGACACCTGCCTTAATTTCTATCCCTGGATGCTAAGCCGTAGCGGAGCGGAAGAACCGCATATGCTACAAATGGGAGAATTAGTGACCATCCTTAACAGAAGGACGTCCACCTTCGGCAGCTGCCCCAGTCTCGTGGTTTGCAGGAAAGCTATTAACGACTCAGGCGACACTACCTGTGGTTGGAAATGTTTGTTACGCAGCCGTCTACCGTACGTGCACAAAAATTTTAATTATGTGAAACCGCGACACCTCCTCCACATCTTTCGCCTAGCTGGCTAGAACCTAGACAGATATGACTAGTCAGCTCTGAAGTGAGAATAAAGTAACAAAGAGGAATAGACGTGAAACCCTAATCCCAACGAAAAGGTGTTAAATCACGCCCTTCATTACGTGGCTCCGCATTTAGGCAAGTGTTCCTATACGACTACCTATGGATACTTGTGATGGCCAGCACATTCCCAGTCCCCAAATCTAGTTTCCATGCTAGGCGAAACGCCATATCTGGTAGAATCGAGAAGAGAAATCTGTGACCTTTCCATCGAACAGCTCCTCAGTTGCACGGTCGGCTCGTCAGTGCTTTTGGTACGGTAGCAAATACATTGTGATAGCTGATGCGGGAGGCTGAGGACGGGGCGCGCCGAGGACTACACCCAAAAGAGAAGGAATTATGTAATACATCAATTGTTTGTTTAACACTCGGTTTTAGTAAAGGGGCCACTTTAAGTCTCCGACTGCACTTTCACCGGGTGGACTGATCTCCGCGCCAAGCGAGTAGACCCAAATCCTACCGTATTTTGATAATGTATATTCTTTCTCCTCCAGGGAAGTCTCGGGACGCTAAATATGAGAATCAACTGCCAACGCCTTCTGGATGGCTGAGCACGTTCGACTCATTTGTTTAACGAATAGCTAAGGAACAGCAAGTGGTGGTTCCAAAAACGGGAACACTGAGAATTTCCCGACTCCACTTTCTCACCAAAAAAAATTTAGTTAAATTCCACATAAAACAAGGAGACACCATCACAGCAACGCAAGAGTTCACTGAAAAGGCTTGAATAGAGAAAATAACAACCTACCAGTGACCTAATAGCCCTTTTACACCAAACTAAATCCACCCACCACACCTGCGCTACAAAACAAAACCACCCAAGGAAAGGCCAAAAAAAGAGGCCCACATCAAGGTAAATAAACTTACCCAGTACACTGCTAGGCTTGGATACAAAACTAAATTAAAATGCATGGAAAGATTTCAACCGTGGTACACACGATAAATGAAAGTGCTTTTTTCAAGGCGGTTAATTTCTAAGGCTAAACAACAGATCGTCTTGTAGCACTGTTGACCTGAGACCAGCAATACAGAGACAAGAAAAGTCGAGGGAGCAAAGGTCGGCCTCGTCCCCTAGGCCGGTGCCTTAGCCACATCCAACTGGCCTTGCACCACGCATGGATGACGATCACATTTCCCCACAGTTCAGTTCCCTCGAGTGTTACAAAAGCATAACGCCGAATTGTAAAATTAGTGATAGAAGTGACGCTACCGAGGGATGCTTTTTCTTTCATTTTAGCAAAATTGCGAAGAGGGGACCTAGGGCAAGCATTAAGAAAGTACTTTTGGAAAATGAAGACGTTTTAATGGAACCTTTACGACTACTTTAATAACTATAAATCAACCTTTCTAACATATCATAAAACCTTCACAAAACAAACTTCCACAAATTGTAGAAAAAGAAAATAATCTCAACAAGAAACGAATTAGAAAGTTAAACAGGCAACAGAAAGATTAACCAACACTCACGTTGAAGACAGACGGCAAACCCAGCAAGCCAAGTTGGGCAAACAGAAGCTGCAGTAAGTTTAAGCATAGTTATATCAAAGAGGCAAAAAAATGCTTAAAGTCAAAATAGAAGCATGAATCGCCCTGCCTTTTGTTCCCACATTTTTGTACTATAAACTCCCTGCAAAACGATTTACTTGATACATCGGAGAGGAAAGCTGGCAACCTTTAAGGTACGCGAAGGAACCCTTGAGAAGGTTGTTCAATTAATCACAGTAAATGTAACAATTAGCTTATACTTGACAAAAGGTCAATTTAGGAGCTGTCAAAACTACAGTGGACTGGTCCGCTATTAAATAAAATGAGATAATAAAGAAAGAAACGGTGTAAAGACGTGATATCGCCAGAACTAGAAACAGAGGGACCTTTTGTGACCCGGCAATTCACACTTGTACCGTAGCACGACCCAAATGAACCAAAGTAAAACCGGCGTTTGAAATCTCCTAGTCAGAGTGACGAAGTTAAAATTTTATATCAGCTGCATCCCCAACAATCCAATCAGGGGTAAATATCTATAGATGGAAAGTTCCATGCTAGTTGCTCCTAGAGCGGGAAACTTGACACTAATAGTTGAAACTCCACGAAGCAAGGATTTGAATAAGGCAGACTGCGGCGTGGAAAAGGATACACCGGAAGAAGATTGGATAATAGCCTAAATCGTCAAGCCACTGGAAGACAAACGGAAAGTTAATCCAAGTCTAAACCGTCCCCATACCTAAATTTTAGATGAAATTAACAGTATTCAATGGCCAGCACATTCCCAGTCCCCGAATCTAGTTTCCATGCTAGGCGAAACGCCATATCTGGTAGAATCGAGAAGAGGGGTCTGTGACGTTTCCATTGAACAGCTCCTCAGTTGCACGGTCGGCTCGTCAGTGCTTTTGGTACAGTAGAGGTGAAAAGGTTAAGCAGGCTCGCTGGTAGAACAATGAATAATCAACAGATGAAACATCGAAATGTCTCCAATTAATGCCCGGGAACTGCGGCATCACATATCGACTGTTGAAATCAACGATGATATCGAGCACCACCACTTACCGGGAAGATGGGCGAGTCACGAAACCGGGAGGCGAGGTTGCGCAAACTGCCGGGGGTATCACGATCGAAAAGACCGGGGCCGGGCGTTGCAGCGGTGCCCAGCGGTCTCGACTGTCGACCACCACCTGGAGTGAGGCGGTGGGTGGCGAGGGAGGGCGCTGGGGGTGGGGAGATACCAGGCGCCGGGAGAAGAGAGGGCATCTGACGCAAATCATCAGTAGCATCGTTTCCAAATCCACTCACACCGCTCGGACTCAAACTGGGCAGTGCACAAGCAGATGCACACCGCTTCCCACACGGTGTTGTCCTTTAATTATGCATTTTTGCAAAAAGATTTGCTTCAAAACGTTGAAAGCGCGCTTTTTAAGATGGTTGGCCAGAATGAGATAATGAGAGAATAGGTATCTAAACTGGTTCATTACGTCACCATTAAAGCCCCAAAACATAGGATTCCACGATAAGTTGGCATTGCCCTGCTAATCTAGCAAAAATATTCAATTTAAAGAAAAAAGAAGGGACGCACACGATTTTGTCTTTAATGTTCCATGCATAAAACAGCATCAAGTTGGGATTAAGGAGGGTCGTTACCTGAAGGGGAGGGAATTAGGGGACTCCGTGCCAGCCAAACTAACACCGTTGACCGCATGTTGTTGCAATCGTTCATGAAGACTTTTATAGTCAGCGTAGGTGAGCCCACTAACGGGCGGTTGATTGACAGTTGAATGGTGACGACGAGCTGCAACAGGACCAGCAAAAATAGTCTTCATCTCTTCGTCCTCATCGTCATCTGGCTTCGCCGCTGACGTCTCCATTCCTCCCTGTCCTCCTGTCGAGGTACTCGACACTGCTGCTGAAGGTGGAGCTGAAGTATCTCTTGAATTGGTGCTGCTACCACCACTTCGACCAAGAACCGGTGCTACAATCGGGAAAAGTGATTTAACTAGTTTCTACTTAACTTGCTATAGGTAGACGTGTTATTGAACTAACTGAATGGCGTGTCGTGAAGGGCCTTGAAAGCGGAGGGTACACCCAACTCCTCAATGGTGGGAGTTCGTGCCTCTAGTCGCTTTTTAGCAGGTTGTCGGGGCGTCGACTTCCCCGAAAGAGGTGCGGGTGGTGGCGGAGGAGGCACGGAGGGCGGTCCAATAGGCTGGGGTGCGTACAGTGGTTGCATGCCAGCATGGTGGTTGCATCCCAACAGCGCTGCCGCCGGTTGGGCAGTGAAGTGTGTTGGCAACTGCTGAGGGTCCTGAGGGAAGAAAATGGACGCTACTTATTCTGGGGATATGAGTAGTGTCAGAGAGGAAAAGCGGAGACCTACACCAAGTTGCTTCACGGTGTTGATAGAGAGGAAGACATTTGCATCGGGAAGTGTGGAGGAGGGTGTGGAGGGCTGAGGCGGAACAGGAGGAACGGTTTGCCCAGAGGTTGTAGTTACCGTGACAGGCTCCTGAAGGCTCTTGGGAGGTGCGCAATTGTTATTGCTGTTGGAGGAGGAGGAGGCGGAGGAAGTGGACTGCGCGGGCCGCTTCAACGATCGACGCTTTGTTGCTGTGGGCGTCGTGGTCACGCCCGTCGAAGAGGCAGCGGCAGCGGAAGAGCTAGTTAGCTGGAACCGCGACGACGCTGAGGGCGTCAATTTTGGGAGACTTGTGCCAGGGTTCGCCGAAAAGGGCGGCTTGATGTCAATGGCACCACTATCCGAAAGGTCCATTCCAACAACTCCACTACCGTTCAATAAGCGGGCCTTCGAAAAAGAAAGGTGTCATGTAAGTTGAGGGCATCCAGCTTTAACGTGGTTGAGTTGAAACAGTGGCTTTGGTCAGAAATAGCCACAGAGATAAGTAGCTAATTTACAAAACCCCGATTTAGAATTACCAAGCTTTTACAATTCCATTGTGTTCATTTACAAGGTCTACTTCACAAACCCACCGATGAGGAAAGTCTTTTATTAATTTCCAAAGAATTCATTTAAACAGGCCTTCCGCCAAAACTAGCAGAATTAATTGCTTAAGTTTCTCCAGACACAAACCTCATTATTACTTAAAAGTAAAGTTCTTAGCCCTATTTTTTCCTAAATATCACTGGCATAGGAAAGATATGGAAGCTCAGCTAAGGTTTTCCAAAGTATTTAGCTAAATCCAACTGGCGCGATAACATCAATGATGGAAATGACAGTTAAATAGGTAGACTACCGGGGAAATTTCCAATCGCAATTTCTCGGGAAAAATCGGGGCATCCTATGCACACACTTTGCGCAATGCCCTCCCTGTTCTTGTTTTGAAACTATTGAAACCGAAAACTCCACCCAAGTAGCTTTACGGGATGTTTGATTTTCGTAGAGCTTTTTTAAACAAATGATGCCTAATGACGCTGTGGAGAAGTTATGCTAATATTTTTCCTTTAACAACTGAAAGTCAGAGCACGACAGGAAAACGTCAGCAACAAACTTGAAGCAATACTAGTCGAAAGAAGTTTGGATCAAAGACAAGCCCTCATTAAAATGCGGTCATTCGTAGTGGATATATGACCTTAAAAGGCAAACGCATTTCCACAGCAACCTGGACTTATAAAATGGCCGATCAGGGAGGACCTACAATTCTCCTCCCCGTCTATCACATAATTATTCGTGGAGTTGGCGCTGATGTCAGGATTAAAGGAAGCGAGAAAAGCAGCAAGAAGGCACCATGATGAAGACAGTGGACGAAATATGGACAACAAAGATAAAAAAATTTACCTTGCCATTGAAGCAATAGCCACCCACCAAGCACAGTTATGCTTGATAGTGTGTGCAA